TGATAAGGTGAGAACTGAAGGTTGAGTCCAGCCCCATGCCCTAGGCTGATCAGGAGTGTCGCAGGTCTGCAGTATGCAAAGGTTGGCCATCCTGGAGAATCCTTTACCGTCTGGGTAGTATAGGTGAGTGAGTGTGTGTGGTGTGTGGCAAGGCAGGGGAGCAAAATAGTGCCATTCTGCCAGTGACTGAGGCTGTGAGGACCAGATACATCCAAACTTGGCTAGGTTTGCATTGTGGTACCCCCAATCTGGCTGCTGTGTTGCTCTCTGGACCTGGATTTTGGGAGCTGGGAAAGGGGAGAGGCTGGGTTGAGGAGGCTCCTGGGCTATCTACACGTGACAGTGTGAGCTTCGGGCTGTTTGCACCACTTCTCTGCCTAGCATGGAGGCGATTCCCTGTGTTGCAGTGTGTGTGTCACTCTGAAACTAATTTGCTTGATCATTTCAATAAATGTGGAAAGGGTGTCCTGGTGTGTGAGTAATGGGGCATTAATCCATGCCTAGCTGTGTTAGCTGCACTCTAGGAAGGAATTAACGCCACATAATTCATTGCCTGTGCAGCTCTCGCTCTCTTAAATAAGGGATGTTCTATTTAAGACCCACCTTCTGTGAGGGCTGCCCAGCCTCTTTGGCTTTGAGGTGGGTCTCTGGTGGCTCTCATTTCCTCTGTCCACCCACTACCGGTTTCTTTCTGGCTCCTCTGCTCCTTGTGCTATGCAGGTCCCCAGTTCCAGCAGCGCCATTGTCTGCCTGGCCATGAAGTTCAACCATATGAAGACTTTCTGAGGCATCAGCATCTTTTTGGTGCTGCTGACACATCAATGCAGGTGCTGATGGGAGGTTTCCTAGGAAGATGCAAGCCCTGCTGCCATAGGAAGCCCTGGAGCTACATCCCTGTTTTGCTGCAGAAGCTTAGCTTGCCCTTTTGTTTGCATTTTTTTGGCTCCCAAGAGCACTGTGTTCCTGGGGAGATATGCTTAGGTCTTTACTTAAACTCTTTCCTTTCTGGGTTAAATGTATAATGTTGTTCTGGATTTGTTTTTTAAATATCTTATAAAATTACAGGCATTCTCTTTCCAGACTGTGTTTTTTCCTCCTTTCAGATTGCAGGATTGCAGAAGCTATTTTCCTGCCCTGGAAGGGACCTGGGGTCTGTCTCTCCCCAGGGACTCCCTGGCCAGGGTGCTGGAGGTTTCATCATTCACCATCTTCTATGGGACTTGGAGTTCTGTAAATTACAGCAAAGTGCTCAGATAGAGTTTGCAATGACTTTGGGTTTGTTTTGCAAATGGTCATTCGCTGGAGCTCTGTTTAAATAAACAGCTCAAATAAGCTTTCCACTTCAGTGCGTTAAAATCCCTTAATGCATTAAAATCCCCTGGCCATGGACATTCACGCCTCTGTTGTGCCAGGTGCTGTATAAACAGTTATCAAGTGCTGGTGTCTGCTGTAAAATGATCACATCGTTCACTTCCCCTCACTTGTCCTCGAGTTGAGTAGCTTTTGTTAGGGGAGATGATACTAGTCCTGGCATCTGCTGGCTGTACAGCCAGCACCAAGGGAACCTGTAACTTTGCCCAGTTTTAGAATCATAGAATAGTTTGGGTTGGAACAGACCTTCAAAGGTCATCTAGTCCAACCCCTCTGCAGTGAGCAGGAACATCTTCAACTAGATCATGTTGCTCAGAGCCCTCTTCAACCTGACCTTGAATGTTTCCAGGGATGGGGCATCTACCACTTTTCTAGGCAACCTGTGCCAGTGTTTCACCACCCTCATGGTGAAACATTTCTTCCTTATATCTAGTTTAAATCTACCCTCTTTTAGTTTAAAACCATTACCCCTTGTCCTACTGTTCCAGGCCCTTCTAAAAAGTCTCTCCCCATCTTTCTTAGAAGCCCCCTTTAAATACTGAAAGGATGCAGTAAAGTCTCTCTGGAGCCTTTTCTTCTCCAGGCTGAACAACCCCAACTCTCTCAGCCTGTTCTCATAGGAGAGGTGTTCCATCCCCATCCCTCTGATCATCTTTGTGGCCCTCCTCTGGACCCACTCCAACAGGTCCATGTCTTTCCTGTGCTGAGGACTCCAGAGTTGGAGGCAGTACTCCACCTGGGGTCTCACCAGAGCGCGGCAGAGGTGCAGAATCACTTCCCTCGACCTTCTGGACACATTTCTTTTGATCCATCCTAGGATATAGTTGGCCTTCTGGGCTGTGAACGCACCTTGTTGGCTCATGTCCAGCTTTTCATCACTAGTACCTCCAAGTACTTCTCGGCAGGGCTGCTCTCAATCCCTTCATCCCCCAGCCTGTATTGATACAGGGAGGTGACTTGACCCAGGTGCAGGACCCTGCACTTGTCCTTGTTGAACCTCATGAGGTTCACATGGGCCCATTCTTCAAGCTTGTCCAGGTCCCTCTGGATGGCATCCTGTCTCTCAGGCCTGTCAACTGCACCACTCAGTTTGGTGTCTTCCGCAAATTTGCTGAGGGTGCGCTTGACCCCACCAATGTCTGTCACTGATGAAGATATTAAAGAGTACTGGTCCCTGCCAGTATTGATGCCTCTGAGGGACACCACTTATCACCAGTCTCCATCTGGGCATTGAGCCATTGACCACTACCCTCTGGATGTGACCATCCAACCAATTCCACATCCACCGAACAGTCCACCCATCAAATTTAGAGAGAAGGATGTTGTGGGGGACCATGTCAAAGGCCTTACATAAGTCCGGATAGATGACATCCATTGCTTTTCCTTTGTAGGTAGCTTCCTTTTAAACCCAGGAAGCTTGTCATTACCCCTTCTTGCTGTGCAGCTGCAGCAGGAGCATCTGTTCCCTGGTGGGAAGCAGCAGCAGTTTTCCTGCTGGGTCAGACATCTGGAAAGGGCAGTTACTGGGCAAGTGGAGACCTGAAGCCAAAAGTAAAAAGAAAAAAGGGAGGAGAGCTAAACGCAGATCATCCCCAGTCCCTTTTTGTGCAGTAGTATCTTCTCCCACTCCCATCACACTACTTGTGTCAGCAGGTAAGAAACAGCCCTGTGATACATTTGTGTGTCTATCTTGGTCTCTCACTTTTTCGGCCACCTGTCAGTGGTGAATATTAGCAGCCTTACTGTCTTCTCTTGCGTTGCCCTTTGCAATGGGTGCGTGGCCTCCTGGATGCCCCTCCACAGGGCAGGATGTACCAGGGGCAACAAGGGGGAGGGGGGCGTCCAGAGCTTGGAGCGGGTTGTCAGGACCACTTGATGCATATATTTTGTCAGAGCTGCTGCCTCAAGAAACACAACTATCCTGTTGAGGGTATAGACATTATCAAGTGAGTTTTCATGGTTCAGGTCTTGTTTTTGCCAGGGTTACAGGCTCTCAGCAACTGGTCTCCCTATGTTTTTGTATATTGGTCTTGTTCTGGTTAAATTGATAAGAGAATTAGATTAACCTGAGACAAATTACTCTTGTGGACATGCATATGAAAGCACACACAGCAAAAGGTGACAGCGATTTTCACTCAGAAAGTGCAGACTTAGCTGTTCTGGAGATTTTTAAGGTCTGCTTCCACAGATTAGTTGAGTTCAGGTAAACTGTCTGAAGAAGGGTCATGGAAGGGATGGAAGGTGTAATAGTGTGGTGTAGTGGGTGGAGTTCTTGTGCAGTGTTTTGGAGAGGAGCCCCTTTCCTTAGTCAGCTACATATGCTGGTCTCTCATGGCTTTGGCTGAATGTGGGACTCCAGAAAAGGCAGTTTTAAGTCTCGTGTGGTCCAAGCGTGGGACTGTGCAAATACTTTCATGCTGCCCTGTCCTTGGCACTTAATGTAATGAGGGAGGGGAGCAGGTCAGTGCTGAACTTCATGTAACCTCATGCCTCTCCTTCCTGTACCTGTTTGCACCATCACCAGCTCTTTACACTTTCAGGGACCTTTTGTTCTCAGGACTGCCTCTGGCCCTCAGGCTGTATCTCCAGTACAGAAGTGCCAACCTGAAAGCCACCTTGTTGCATGTGAGATTCTGTTTGGCTTAGGAAATCTGCAATTAAGGGGCAAATTTCATTCCAGAGGCAAAGGGCAAAGATATGTCCTCTGCTTCTGGCTCGCCACCCAGGTGGCAGCTGGAAGGGGAGAGGGAGGAGAGTGGCTGAGTGCTGCTGAGATGCCTGATTGAAGCATGGGGCACCTGATTCCCAGGTTGGAGGTGAGGAGGAGACGAGGACGCCTCCAGAAAGCTGAAGGTTGTGGCTGTTTCTGAAATTTTCTTTGGTGTCCAGATTTCTTTGTGTGGTGACTTCTACCAGCTCTCGTTAAATAGTAGCAGTTAGGAGTCTTAGAGAGAACAGTTTCCTCCAGACTTGGAGCTTCAGTGCTGTGCCAGTAGGCACTGAGCTGAAAGGAGTGGTCCAAAGGGCAAAGTCGCACCAATAGTTTGGGGGGGGGAGAGGCACTACTTAAAGGCAGTGTTGGCACAAGACTGAGCATGGGCTGTCAGTTTGGGCTGGGAAATAGAGGAAGGATTGTAACCGCTGGAGGACAGGTTTTGAAGACTGTCCTTTAAAAACAGCATGCGTGTGTTGGAGGAAAGTGTTGAAGGGGTCTTGCATGGCACGTGACTGTCTTGAGGTGGCTGGGTGGACCAGCAGAGGGTTGGAGATCCCCATGGTGCAGCATGAAATGCTCCCTGGAGTTAGAGACCTGTGAGAGGTACTGCTGTCTTGGATGCTGGGCAGAGCTTCTGCACTGCCTTGGCTGCTGCCCTTCCTCACATGCTGCTGGAGCCTGATGACTCTGGCAGCTCTTCCCTCCATATGTGCTTGTATACTTATACACACACACACACTTATAAGGCTCCCTCTGGAGCTCAGTCTCCTCTCTGAGGAGACTAGGTGCTCTTTTAAGGTGCTTACTTGTTCCTTGGCTGGCCTGACCCTGCAGCCTGCCCACTAGGATCTGAGCTTCAGGAAGAGTGTAAGTGTCTCAACTTTGTCTCCTTGGTGTCTTTCTCTTCTTTCTCAGGAAGAAACTGAAGTGAAAAAGAAGTGACTGAAAAAGAAATTAAGGAAGGATTTGAAGGAACAAATTCATTTCTTAACAAGATCAAGTTTGAATTAAATGGCTGATAAACAGATCAGGTAACTTTGTTAAAAATTTTTGAGTTCTTGGTTGTGCTTTAGATTTTTCTTTTAAAGTCTGTCAAACTTAATCCCTTTTGTGATACAGGAGGTTGGAGGATATCACCTGATCATCTCTTCTGGCCTTAAACAGTTCTGATTCCTTCTCTGCTCCTTTCTTACCTGCTTTTTTCCAACGTTATCTTATTTTCTGTCTTTGCCATGTTGTCACACCTCTGCTTTCCTCAGTTCTTTTTTCTCACGGCCTTTTTCTTTCTGCCCTTTGCTTTTTGCTTCCTCTTTCAAAGGTCAGCTTGACCTGCTAACTTCAGCTTGCTGACATCAAGGGAGCAAAGCCAGCTCCTCTAAAGCCAGTCAATGCTTGAGTGATTGAAGGAACGTGAAGTACCAACAATAATTAGTGACACTTAAATGCACAACAGGAACTTAAGAGAATTGGTCCTGGCATATGCGAAGGCTGGATTTGAGTCCTCCCTGGAAGTGAATTAGGATACATTTTCTGGAAAGATACAGTTGTAGCCTTAGCTTCCTAAGAGCTCTGTCGGATGGATCTGTGCACTTCTGCATATGGGTTTAACTTTCTGCTGCTTGTGAAGTTGCCCCAGATAAATGACTCCTACATGCTATGGGGTTCCTGTGGGGGGGTTTTTTGTTGTCGTCTTCTAACACCTACTTTTCTAGGCTACCAGCTCAGGACAGGAGGGATCGGGAGGTGAATGAAACCTGGTGACAGAGGTCCAGGACTTGGTAGTGCCTGAATGCTAAAGGCAAGAGGGCTGCCCCTTCTTAGCATTTGCCATGATTAGGCCTGCATGCCCGCCTTTTGCAAATGAAAATAGTCTTGAGCTGCACTGATAACAAGACAGCATTGTGGAGTGTTTATGTGCCTAGATTTGCCTGTCATCAGTTATCCAATTTGGAGAGCACTTAGCACTCTTCTCTTACACCCATGGAGGGTATGCTGAGATTCACCTCCATGGAGCCTGATGGGTGTATGTCCCTGATAGCCTCAGCAGAGCAAAAGGACCAGATGTCCGTGGCCATTTGAAGCTTGGTATTTTGAAGGAAGGGGAGACACGTCCTCAGAGGGCTCCCCCAGCCCCTCTGACGTGCTCTTGGCAGTGTGAAAAGGAGCTTGCTGGCTACAGGGACTAGTTAAAAGGGCTGAGGAGCAGTAGGAGAACTGGGATGCCTTTCTATCCCTTCTCATGTTAAACTAAGCAAATTGCTTTATTTATATGCTAGCCTGTTGTCCCTGTTTCACTAAGCCCTGCGCATGTAGGTAGTGAGAGACAGTAGCTGTGCAGAAGCTAAATAGGACAGGGAGACCAGACACAGTGGATTCTCATCCCATGAGAGAGCAGAGAGCACTGAGGTGAAAAGTAGGATGACTTAGTTACAAGGGAAAAAGCTTTTGATTCAAGTGCAGTGCCCTCTGTCTCAGGTTCTTCTCTGTGCCTCAAATCCTTCACATCTCCCACTTAGGTCATCTCTCCCATCTGTGTGACCACAAGTCTGCAGTGGTCACAGGCAGCCAAGCCAAGGAGATCTGTTTAAGCTTGGAGGATCTACCGAATGCCTCTTCCCTTGCAGCATGCATCTGTCATCCATTAGCAAAATGAGATTGACTAAAAGACTAACATCTACAGCAGTGCTTTGCTGCGAGGTGAGATCATGGGCATTGCATTTCTGCAGCAGTGCCTGTGGAACTTGATCTCAGCGTCTCACCAGATACTGTTGAATAGTCCGTCTGTACCAGTCTCCCTCCGCAGTGCACATAGGGGAACCTGGATAGTTGGATTCAGATGCGATAGGGGTGTTGAAGCAAGGGTTTCTCACCCACAGAGTGGGAGGCTCTCTGCAGCCCATGTTGCCCAAATTTTTTGCTTGCCCAGGCACATCAGACTATTCCACTTCATTGCTGGCATCTGTGCTGAAGCTGGGGAATCTTTTGCACTTATGGTGCCAGCAGGCAAGATGTTTGCATTGTGTCTGTGTCTCACTCCCACCTGATATAAACCCTGTGGTGATTTCACTGTTGGAACAGATTGAGAGAGGCAAGTGTCTGCCTGCCGTGGGTGTTTCAGGGACACTTAGAGAAGCAGTGACAGTGCTGAGGCTGGAAAGGAGCACTGGTTGTGCCTTGCAGTGTGTGACCTACCAGCAGTGACTTTGGAGCTGTATTTGGGGAGGTTGATGCACTCGTGTCTTGAAACACCCTCCTTCCCACTGGTGCCTCCGTCTTGACATGCTTTTTTCTGGTCTATAACCTCCTTTTTCAGTGTGACTATGGGTTAAATAAGGAGGGCGCCATGATGTGAGGCTTACCGTTGGAAATTTTCCCATATCCTGAGAACAAGTTGAACACAGGAGTTCGCAGGCAGATCTATTCCTTTCTCATACTATGATACAAAGATCCCCAAGGCAACAGAGTCTCAAACTGGTGAGATCTTGCAGTCTGACCCTGCACTGAGCTTATGCACTTATTTAGGCCTGCCTTCCTAACATGCTGTGCTTAATTTACTCTTGGTCAGCACCATCTTGTTTAGGGATGGGGGCCGAGCTCAGGTCTGTCTGCCTGTCCTTGGCATCTCTTCTAGCTGTGCTAGCCCTGGGGCTGTGTGTGTGTGTGTTGTGTGGGTGCTGAGGAGAAAGGAGTTCTGGCTGCAGGAGAGCAGAGGCTGAAAGGAGTTTTCCTGGGGTGTCAAGGTCATGCTTAGCACTTGTGGGCAAAGACTTCCCCC